CCAACTACAGCTCCACATATACCACATGGACCACATGGGCCAACTTCACAACAACTACAGGCTTCTAATGGGCTGGGGTGTTACAATAGTGATGGATCTATCATTTAGCGACGGATAGTTCGACGGTCCTACTTTTAGTGAGACTGCCAGCATGTTAGAACTTGTAACAACTGACAGTTCAACATAATAAAGAACTTTTAGCGACTAAGAATCCATGGAGCTCAAATAAATAGATAAAAAAGTTAAACCAGATATATTTAAAACTGTGTAAATTGGACGAAACAATCAGGATCAATACAATATTGAAATTATATATTGTCTAGATTTTGAATGGCATACACAAACGGGCACAATAAGCATAATCTCATTCTTTCATATGAAACGAGTACATATGTAATCATGTCACTAGCTTATTGACATCAAGTCAACATACAAGCATATAGCTTATTAAAAAAACTAGCAATTGTTCATCAGGTTGTACAGCTATCAAACATTCCATCGAACATTGCTTCCCTATTAAGCAAAAAGCCATCAACCAAAAGTGAGGCAGACCGGCAAGCCGGCTTAGGGAGGCGGGCGTCAAGCAGCCGTGCGCGAGCCTACGCGAACCGGCAAGCTGGCGCCACTACACCACAGCCCATCTTTAGAGTCGCATGGGAGTTGTTAAAAATGCCAATTTAACGTTGGAAGGTTGGAAGTTAAAGATTAGTAACATTCGGTCGGTCATTATATCTCGTTTTTGCAACAGACTATTGGTTGTTATTGTTATTTCGTTTTACCATTCAAAAGTCAGACATTAAATCTTGATATTATGGTCCAACTATTAGTCAGTGCATAATTTGGGTCTGCGCGCTCTCCGCTGGCCCAATTGGTGCCAAATTTTTACATGGCCCACAAGTCGGACGAAACCCTAGCTCCAATTTCTCTCTAGCCCGCTGCTAGAGGAAAAGCAAAAGCAAAGGGCACCATCATTTTATATCATATATAAATTGAGTTGTGTTCTTGATCTCCAATATTTGTTAGGAATTTAGGCATTTTCAAGTTAAATTCCATCCATAAATACCATAGCAAATTTATCACAACATGTATGTGCACGTGTGTAAAAATACTACTCGCAGATGTAGCAAATATGAACACGAACAACATACTGAGCATAGCGAAAAAACTGATATTGAATTTAACAACATCAAGGATTGGATTATACCCTGCGAAGGGACCCATGCTCAAGGCACCGGTGGCTCTATTCGCACTAGTCGCCATAGTGCGTTGCATGAAGTCGCGGACCACAGTTGATGAAGGAAGGTGTTCGCAGTGCCGTCCCTCGAACGTCCACCAAGAAGAAGATGAGCGATCCCGAAGACGAAGAAGAAGAAGAAGGCGATGTCGGCGGCCACTAGGGAAGAAAACAAAGACGATTTGAAGAAGCGAGCGTCGTGGAGACGCTCCCCAAAAACCTAATCACCCGCACACCCGAAAGCAGGTGTCGCAGCAGACGGCGGTTACGGAGGCCTGTTCTCCCAACTCTTCGATGCGGCGAGAGAATTGGGACGGGAAAGCTCTAAGGCAACTCGGCAGAGACTGATGAGGTACGTGTACGAGAGAGACTAGAGCTCGTCTGAATGTTAAAGCGTGTCTTGCTTTTATCATGTAGCCAGGAAGCCGAGTGGGGGCACAAGTGATCAAGAGTATGGAGTGGAAGAGACGCTCAGGAAAGAAACTTCCGTCATCATGAGCAGAAACTCCCGTAACTCTCGCTATTAGGAGTAGAAACTTCCGTAACTCTTGCCATTTGGAGCAGAAACTCTTGTAACTCTCTCATTTATGAATAGAAACTCTTGTAACTCCTGCCCATAATTGGCTTAAGTGGTAAAAGCAATTCATGCATCGTAGCATATAATATGAGCTTAGGATTTATTTGATTTAATTAAATAAAATATGGGCCAAGCCCATATTAAATCTAACAATATTAAGTTTTAGATTGCGTTTTTTATGAATGTGTACTTTTATTTACGGGTGGGAGGTAGTAGCCCGATGCATGCATGCAGCCAGCGTTTGGATCAAAATGCTCATGCAGATGTATTTTGGACATCCCAGCTAGCTATAGATGAAAACTTTTTAAGGACTTCCTAGAAATGGATCATTTTGTAAACAGTGCAAGCAAACGATATGGGTTGTGCAGCCAAACATCTTTAGTCTAGCATATTGGTCAAACTTATTTCATCTTAACACGTTTGCCATTAACTCGATTTATGGAGGTAAGACAGCCTCCGGGCATTATATATTAAGGTCGAGAAAATCGAAAACCTCCAAATCTCAAGGACCACGATGAGACCGGGCCTTAGACGAAGAGCTACTAGAACCACGTAACCAACTGAGTTGGTCCGTTCACAGCATTTATCATCATCACCTAAGGGTGAGGTTTACGGTTTACCACTTCTGCGAACCCGCAAGAAAATCAGGACATCAGGCAGCATCACGTGTTCCTTCCTGCGATCCACGTATTCGAGTGTTTTGGTGTTTGGCTAATGTTTTAGGATAACACATAATCAACGTGCAGGCGTCAGTTGGGATACGGACACACATTTCTTCCTCCCATCGCATCTCCTCCCTTCCGCCACATCTTCTTCCACTCGACCTCTCCCGACCGCCGCCTCCCCACTGCCACCCCGACGGTTGGTGGCGTCCACACCGCCCACCGAGCCGTCTACCACCCACCCCCGCCGTTTCTATCCTGTCCTTCCTAACTCTGACGTCCCTCGCCCCTGCCGCCGACCCCGCCCACGGTTATCCTTCACCATCCGGCCCGGCGGCTCCGCCGCCACCTTGCCTCACCGCGCCGACAATTTGCCTCCGCCGTCGAAGCTGGCGCCGCCCCTCGCCATCCCTCTAGGGCCGGGGACATTGGAGAACCCCAAAGCTCAAAGCCAAACTCTAATCCTAAGCACCTCCACCCCGCCGCTGCCGACCTCGACCGCCGCCGCCAGCAGACGGCGGTGAGAACACCGCCCGCGCCGTCCGCCCACACCCGCCTGTCCCCGCGACCACCGTCCTCCCCTAACGGCGCAGGTCTGCCATGGAAGACGATGGTCACCACTCACAACTCGACTCGATGTGTGTCTGTGCGTCGCTTCCTCTTTCCGACGCACATGCTGTGAATAAGGATTTAGAAATGTGGAGGTTGGAAAGAAAGACACGAAGACAACTATATAGGGGACACAACCTGTTAACCCGTCTATATATATTTGAGCTCCTCAATGGCAAAAAAAAAAGATAACTTCCCACGTAGGCTGTAGCAAAAGGAGGGCACGACGACGATGACTGTGAAATGACCAGCATTAGTAAACGATTGAAGTGCAGAGATTTATCTTATCCTGCGCCCTGCGGTCTCGACGCGTGAAGATGAGAGGAAGGGGCCCAAGACTAAAGACCAAAGACCTGGGTTTATAAAGGTTTATTGTCACACGACGCGTTCATTTATCTTATAGTCATATATACTACTTTGTCCGAAATGATACAATTTTTGGTTTTCATTTAGTAAAAAAATTAAACTTTACTAAGTTTATAAAAGATATTAGTAATATTTATGACTATAAGTATAAAAAAATTAGTGCTTCTTTTATATATTTAATCAAATTTAGAATTGTTTAACTTGAATTGCATTGTTTTATGACAGAGGAAGTACTAGCTAATTGTGAACTATGAACACCCGAATAACACAAAAACTTTTAGAATCCCTGGTCATAGAGGCAAGGAAAAATCCGAGAAGATGTATGGGTGATATCGTGGAAAGGCAGAGTCTTTTCGCTGTATTTTCGTGCTGTCATCCTTGCAGCTTCTGTGCAAAAATATAGGACGATGATTATCATTTATCAAGTCTCTTTCTTTTGACCTTTTTCTGTCTGTGTTCAGACGCTGTAGGCAGGGTTAGTTTCTCTGACACGGCTTCAACTTCTCTTTTGCAAACAGGAACTTCGCGCTGCATTTCCTATTACACTGGCGGCAACTCCTCGCGCATCTTCGTGACTGCCATCTCTGAAAATTGTTTCTCCACAGCTCGGTATATATGCCTGTGTATGGTTGTTCAAATTCCGTGGAGGGTGTGGTCTCTTCCGCCCTCTGCCATCTTGTCTCTCTATGCTGGGGTATGTTTTGGTGGTGGGAACTAGAGTTTGTCTTGCCGGTCTTTTTGTCATAGCAAAATGCTAGTGACGCTTCCTTTTTTAAGGCCCCCAAAACCATTGCTTTTGTTATGCCTTACATATAATATCAGTTCTATTTTTTTAAAACTATCAGTTCTGTTCAAACTTAAAAGGCGTGTCACGATCCATTCCCAGGGATGCTTGTCTCTGTATCTGTGACGCTGGTTGCACAAGTTGTAGCACGCAGAATTAGAATCCATGTAGACGCTGGTTGTCAGATGATGAATCCTAGATAGTGTCATTCAGATTAGGGTATCAGAAATAGATAAAGAATTACATGAATGATGGCCAAAGTATGGTGCTGCTTTTGTAGATGAAGATCTCCCGTCGGATCTGCTACTGAGTACTGACACATTGGAGCATTTCATATTTCCTATATGAAATCATTTGAGAAACATTGAACTTGAAGCAGGAATATGCAATAAATCAATTCTTTTACATTTTTTTTCATTTCTCTATAGACAGTTTGGAGCTACTAATAGCATTACAATTTTTTAAGGGTGATAAATGCTTTGTCATAACATTAATACAACTTGGGGTGTTAAACCCCAACACCACCACACATTACAACTTCCTCACTGACACGGTTAATACAACTAAGCACAAGGCTCTTCCAAACTACTTAGTTCCATAACGCAGTACAATGTGGTACAGTTTATGGTACATGCCAATCTCACCAAATGAGTACATCACGCATATGAAGTTAACACTATACATATAGTACCACATATTAATACAGATTAAAAATTGAATACAATTCAGTCTCCATATACAAAGGACAAAATATCATCAATCTTTTGCTCAAGCATGAGCCTTGCCCTTTGCAGCCCTTATTTTCTTAGATGAAGACATTATAGCCATCCACTTCACAGGAGCAGCCAATTTTATCCACCTGGGGAAGGAGAGCAGCTTCACCATGAAGCAGCGAACATCAGCTGGCATGTCGCTCAAATTGGCAGTGGAAAACTGAGAGATCTTATTGATGAGCAGTTCTTCGTGTGGCTCATCTGGCTCCAACATCTTCATTATCTCGTGGAGGTCACTCTCGCTGAAGCTATGTTGCAATGAGAAACCAGGACAATCAGCTGGCACGGTTAGAGAGGGAGGAAATGGGCACTGAGAAGGTCCCCCCTGCTCTGTACAGCAAACTGGATAATCTGCAAAAGGGACACTATTTGGTGTACTGCTTTCCACTTTTTTCTTTAGTGAAAAAAAGAATGATAGCATGCAATTAATTGAGTAGGGCTATTGGTCGTATTTCATTTGCTGCACTAGCTGGTTCGAGTGTCACTGAACCTGTAATACAATTTAGGTCTGAAGTTTCATGCTGGATTTCATCATCAGAATCCAGCTGCCCGGCAATGCCAAAAGATGCACCCTGTGAAAGTGTGTTTCAGTAAGTGATTTCAGAGAGATGGATCCAATAGGAGCAACCAGAAATTTAGATCCTAAAAAGAGTGCATATTGATTGTATTAAATGTTTCAAATAATGCTTAAAAAGGAAATCAGAATGATTGCAAAGCATTTGTTGGTTTCTAAATGCATTTAAAATATAATTAAAAGAACTACCAAACATTTGTTTATTCTGAATTGTGGCCATGTCTATTTCAGTCCAGGTATAAGAAATTTTCTACGATTTAATGCAGTATAAAATAATAGGGATATCACTTACAGTTTCATTGTTTTCTTGTGCACAAGGTACGCGCCCTTACTCTCCTGGACCCAATCCTCTGGAGTGGAAACTGCTGGGAGCATACACCAAAAACTCGGTTCACCTCTGAAGTATCTTGTTCATCAGTTTCATGAATAATTTGACCTGGAAGGACAATAAAGATCCCTACTTTACAATAAATCAATAAGCCATCTCCGCACAAATAAAAAAATATAGAGTGTAATAGATCTTGACCAGTAGGCTTAGTTGGTGACATGATTGATCCCTGGAGAGTAGTGGAGTTAATTGCTCTCGGTTGTCTATTATACATTTCATAATCATGTTGATGATAGTCCATACATTCATATGGATCCTTACTCCACTTTTTTCACTTGGTCCTGAAATGGTATAAACAAAGATATTAACACATTTCTTTCAAAGTTTCCAATATTGTTTTCTTCACATATAGATAAAGCAAAATTTCTTATCCCCAACTTCCCATTTCTTTTGGTAGTTGATATAGCTGTGAGCATCAGAAAATACCTTCCAAATTGTATCAAGATCATCATAAACATGATACTGGTCAGCTATTGTTGCTCCTACAATCTGACCCACACAAGTGAAGTACAGCCTAATTTTCTTGTCTTCCATAAAGTGAGAGTAAAGGGCTGTGCCAGGATCACACTTCTTAGCATGATTAACCATCTTTTTCCAGAATGCATCTGAGGCACTGCTGAGAATCTAGAAGCAAGAAGGTGACAATGATCATCAAGAATTCAAGATCTGACCAAGAAAAAAGATACAAACATAATTTTACTCTTACATTGCGCAGTGTTTTCTCATCCATATAATACAGCCTCAGGAAGTGCTTCACCAAAGTAATGCCTCTCTGCTCCAATGACTTACAGAAGGGACCCTTTTTTGCAATCTTGTCCAGGCGCCATACTTCATCATCCAGTGTTGGAATATCACATTTTTTGTATCCTACAGATACAAGAAATGTTTAAACTAATCAGTAAATGTTTTGACTTCCAATAGCACAAAACTGAAGGTAAAATAGTCCAAACTCAATTTCAGGATTACCTTCCCCTCGGCGGTCCTTCACTGTGAAAGGTTCAGTTATAGCTTCTTGAACTCTTTCACCATGATTATCAATAAGCATTACCCCAAGCCTAAACTTGCCACTCCTTGTGAACTTGGAGTTATCAACAAAAATAATGTTTTCGAGGTAGGCCTCACCATTTTTCAGTTTCAATTTCAGCTTCCCTGTAAGCACCGCCCCAATTTTGTCCCGTGGGATCATTATATGGTGTTCAAACTCCTCGGATGTCCAGCACTCACGATTGTCCGCATTGAAGTCACCATCCAGAACCAAAACCTTGACATTGGCCGAGAGAAGCTGGGGAAAGTTGCTACCTTGCTGATTGCTTACAGCCAATTTTATCATGAGGTGACCCCCACCCGCTGCCCGGACCTCCCTCTTTGTAAAAATTTTGTCGCTCATGGAATTCACGAAGGTGAGTTTGTAGGTTGGAGGCAGGTTCTGTTCAATTCTCTCTCTGCGTAGACATTGCAAGTGAGATGCAGAAGCAGATCATGAATGTAACCATGCAGGCTGCAAAAACTTGGAACGCAAAACTTACTGTGGATTAGGAGAAAGGTTCCAGGGGCTTGTAAGTACTTGTGCCACCTCTTCCATAAACTATTAAATGAAGGAGGAACAGGAAAAAAAGAAGGGAGTCAGTATTGCTGACACAGTTATGTTCATTATCTATATTAATATAGATATGTGAATACTAATTTACTTTATAATGCAATAGAAAGATGGATGGTACGAAATGAAATGAAACAAAGATGGCTGTCAATTAGTGGGGGCATTATTATTATCATCAGTATTCAACCGACAACTTGAGACCCTGTCCCCAATCCTTTGACATTTTGGATGATTGACATGCTAAATTACAAAACACCACTTGAACAAACATTCTACTGTGACATAAAAGAAAAACTCAATAAATAAACCTATATATATATCAGTTTTTTTTTACATTACCCGGCTAATAGCAGCGTTGATTCTTGTCTTGACCGCTTGCACACAGGCACAGCCAGTGGGGAGCCCCTGTCCCTGGTGATGGCTGCAACTGCAACTACAGCCCCTAATCCCACTGCAAATTACATTTCCGGCACTCCGGCAGCAGCGAATTAGCTTTTCATTTGGGGGACCAAACGCGGGGAAAAGAACAAATACTGCAAGTGTTTGTGTCAGATCGAAGCATGAAAGTCAACGATACTCACAGGTCGGACGGCAAGCGGTACAGCCGCTTCAGCGCCTGCGCGGAGGAGGAAGCGGCCGGCTGCGGCGGTGAGCCTCCTCCGCTGCCTGGTACGCTGCCTTCCTCTCTGTCATCGTCGCCGTCGCGGCCTCCGTCTCCGCCCTCCCACCCCCGCTTCTGTCGCTTGCGCGGCATATCAGACGAAACAATCTACTGCTTCGGCGCCGGTGCTACGCCCCTCACCTCTACGCGTCGGCTCTCGCTTAGTTGCTTGCGTCACCGTTGCGAGTGTGCTGCCTGCTGCTGCTTGCGGTGGGCCGGTGACTGGGGCGGCCACTGCCCACTGCCCACGTACTTCTGCCGTTATGCGCGTGCTGAGAGGAGTGTAAATTGCAGCGCTTTTCGTGTCTATATATGGTCATGCAGCCCGAGTCCGTCGGCCCGGTCCAAGGCCCGTTTTTTTGCCTGGCCCAAGCACGGCCCGGCCCGACGGCTAGCGGGCCCGGTCTAGCACGGCCCAGAGGAGCAGGCCATGCCTGGGCCTTACCCCAGGCACGTGGGCCGGCACGGCACGGCACGGCTTGCAACAGAACTGGGGGCCCACTGGCGGCCCTGGTAGCCGGCCTGCTAAGAGCCCTAGCCGGCCCGGCCAGCCCCTACCTCTCAGATGCGGCGCCCTCTCTCCCTCACGCGCTGTCGATCTCTCCCTCCTCCACTCTCTCTCCCTCCGGCCCTCCCTCCACTCTCTCCCGCCGCAACAACGGCGCCCCTCTCCCTCCCTCTTGTGCGGCCCCTGCAGCGGCGCTCTCGCGAGGAGGCGGCGGGATCCGGCGCTCCCCTGCAGCGGTGATGCTCCCCTGCAAGCGGTCGGCGAGATCCGGCCTGAGGAGGTGGCAGCACGGAGCAGGGCGGCTCTCCTCCGGCGCGGACGTCTCTAGGCAGGGGCGGCGTGAATCCAGCGTGGGACAGCGTGGATCTCCTCCTCCGTGGTGGATCCGCACCCCGCGTCCTCCCTCCCTCCCTTCTCCGGTGGATCCAGTGAACACCGGCGGCGGATCCGGCACCGGTGCAACGGATCCGGCGAGTGGCGAGCGCGCTGGCCTCCTCCGGATCCGGCGTCAATCTCCTCGGCGGTGAGCGGAGTCGACCCCCTACACCTCTCGAGCGGCGTCGCCCTTCCCCTCTCTCTCTGTCGACAGCCAGTGGACCTTGGGCTGGCACGGCCTGTGGAATTGGTCGTGCTTCTCGGGCCGGCCCGGCACGAAAATCGCCCTATAGTGCTGTGCCTGGGCTGGAGGCCAGGCCCATGGCCTTGTGAGGCACGGTCCGGGAGGCACGTCGTGCCGTGCCGGCCCGACCCCCATCGGGCCGTGCTTTCACGGGCCCGTGCCGTGTCGTGCCGGGCCGGCCCGTTGGCGTTCTATGTTCGTGTCTACTACTCCTACCAGTACTAGTGTCGATTGATCATGATTCATGCCTGTCCTGTTTGCAGCACTACTTCACCCATACTTTTCGTTCGGCAAAAGAACAGTGTTTTTCTCTCCGAACAATTCAGCATAAGTATTAGCTTATGCTAAATTTCAGCCAAAGTTCATGCACTTCGCCCGTGGTAGGACTCTCTGTCCTGCACTCGTGTAGATAAATTAGATTAGAACTCAGCCACCTTTGTCGAGAGACAAGTCCTCTCTGTTACCAAATTATTTTGATATTTTGGTTACATAGATTTTATAATATACTTAGGACATATTTGGACACACATACACATAGTTAATCACTAGTTGGGGCTAAAAACAATGTACAGTAGTTGGCTGCAATTTCACTACATCTGGATAGATAGGTAAAACAATGTATATAGAAAAGTCAAAACGTCTTATAATTTATAACGGAAATAACAAAGGGATTTGCTATATTTCAGGTGCATGAAATATAGTCTTTTTTCGGGTGACAGCCATATAACATCACGTGTATACTATGCGAACATCACAAAATACATCATAGAATATTACAAGTACACTACGCAAACATCACCACACGTCGCCTGAACAGCAAACACAAATTCAGGCGACTGTCGTATGTACGTGAACATCACAAAATACATCATAGAACATCACATATATACTACGTGAACATCGTAAATTTCATCGTAAAACACCGCCTGAACAACAAACACAAATTTCAGGTGACTGAAGTACAGAAAACTGGATAACAAATGCAAACATATACGATGAAGCTGTTTCGTTGTCTTAAGACAAACTAAAAATCGTCGCGATGTAACTTCATTGCCATAGTATTTAGGATCAACTAATAGCCGTCACAAACGTACAAGCAAAGAGAAAAAACATATGAGGACGAGACAAGATGGCAAGGACGCAGAGCTAGCGCACGCCGGACAAATTTGGCGCGCGTAATCCACGCGGCTCTAACGCGAAGGCGACGAGTAGCATGGTGGCGGCC